AAATGGAGTCATTCATTTTTAATAAAGGGGAAGCATACATCACCTAGACACGGAAAAGACGAGGTAATAAGGATTGCAAGGGGGAGCTAATGGCATGCAGCAGGATCCTTCCTGGAAACAAGCTGGGTAATTTTTAAACGTTTTTTGCAAAAAAGAGAGAGAGAGAGAGAGAGAGAGAGGGACAAAAAAGGAAGCTAATGCACCATATGGGTTTTTTAGCTTTGGATTCAGAGTTGCAAACATGAGGGAGAGCAGCATATAAGGAATGGTTGCTGGAATTGGGTATGTCTAGTGCAGGGGTAGGTAACCTTGGCTCTTTTATGACTCGTGGACTTCAACTCCCAGAATTCCTGAGCCAGCCATGCTGAGGGGAAAGGGAGAGGTTTCTAAGCCGAGCCATGCTGGCTCAGGAATTCTGAGAGGTGAAGTCCACGAGTCAGAAAAGAGCCAAGGTTGCCTATTCCTGGTCTAGTTTAACGAAGAGAAGGACGAGGGGGGACATGATAGCAGTCTTCCAATATCTCAGGGGCTGCCTCAAAGAAGAGGGAGTCAAGCTATTCTCCAAAGCACCTGAAGGCAGGACAAGAAGCAACAGATGGAAACTAACCAAAGAGAGAAGCAACCTAGAACTAAGGAGAAACTTCCTGACAGTTAGAACAATTAACCAGTGGAACAACCTGCCTCCAGAAGCAGTAAATGCTCCAACACTGGAAGTTTTTAAGAAGAGAATGGACAGCCATTTGTCTGAAGTGGTATAGGGCAGGGGTGTCAAACTTGCAGCGTCACGTGACGTGTCATGACGTATCGTGACTTTTTTTGCCATTCGCTATGATGCATCCGGCCCGCGGGCCTTCAGTTTGACACCCCTGGTATAGAGTTTCCTGCCTGAGCAGGCGATAGGACTAGATGACCTCCAAGGTCCCTTCCAACTTTATTATTGTTGTTGCTGTTGTTGTTATTGGAAGGGACTTTGGAGATCATCTAGTCCAACCCTCTGCTCAGGCAGGAAACCCTATACCAGTGTTTCTCAACCTTGACAATTTTAAGGCATGTGGACTTCAACTCCCAGAATGTTGGCTGTGGAATTCTGGGAGTTGAAGTCCACATGCCTTAAAATTGTCAAGGTTGAGAAACACTGCCCTCTACCATTTCAGACAAATGGCTGTCCAGTCTCTTCTTAAAAACGTCCAGTATTGGAGCACCCACAACTTCTGGAGGCAAGTCCTTCCACTGACTAATTGTTCTCACTGTTAGGAAAAGTAAACATAAAAGTGTAAAAGTGAGAGCAAAAACAAAAGCAAAAGTTAAGCGAACTTGGCTTTCCCATTGCTTGTAAGGTTGCAAAAGGCGATCACGTGACCCTGGGACACTGCAACCATCATAAATATGTGCCAGTTGCGAAATTTTGATCCCATGATCGTGGGAGATGCTGCAATGGTCCTGCTGAAAAAAGTCATAGGTCCTTTTAAGCACTCATCTGCTTCCTCCTGAAGTTTCCAGATCATATTTTTAGAAGGAAAAAAAATTAGAATTCCCTAAAGATAGCATTTTCTCAAGGTCTTTGGAAGAAGCTCACTTATCTTACATAGTATGTGATCTTAGGCAATGTGGACTGGTTCCTTACATAAATAACAATAGTACATTTGGATAAAATATTTGCATATCATTTCTCAAGGTCTTCCAGACCCCACAAATTCCCCCTAAGCAGTCAGCAGAAGATTAAAATACTGTAAAAATAAGATTATGTTGTACCTCTAAGTATTGGTGTTAAGCATAATGATGTTAGATTCTTTTGTTCTCATATCTGCTGTGTTTTTTATTGGGATCTTGTTGATTTCTTGTAAAACAAGAAAAATGGAAAGCGTTGCCTATTATTTTATTACTGCTGTAATATGGTGATTTGTCGGGCAACCATACACACAAACACACAGATATCACATTTTCCCCCTTCAATGTAAGTAATGCTGTACAAACTGCTGAAAGAAGTAAGTAAATCAGCCAGAGAAATTAAAAGCTTGAGATAAGATAAGGAAATTGAAATACAGCTCCCTTTAGCTTATGCCACCATCAGTTACTAGATTTTTCCATTGTGGGCAAACTGTCTTTAGTCTATGGTAGGGGTCCCCAATCCCCAGTCCATGGACCAGTACTGGGCCACAGTATGCCAGCAACCGGTCCACACAAACAAGCGAAGCCCCATCCGCGGGATGCAGGCAGCACACAAAACCACGCACTCTCTGGTCCGTGGAAAAACCTCTCTCCACGGAACTGGTCCCTGGTGCTCAAAAGGTTGGGGACCTCTGGTCCATGGGACCCAAAAAATCAGAACAAGCACCTTTTTTGACTTAACATATTTTATTAAAAAACTCACAAAGTGGTGAAGTGACCTACAGCTTATGCCTTTTAATAAAATATATTGTACAGATAGTCTTTGACTTACAATCTTTCATTTAGTGACCGTTCGAAGTTACAAGGGCTCTGAAAAAGTAACTTATGACCATTTTTCACACTGATGACCATTGCAGCATTCCCACAGTCACATGATCAAAATTGGGAGGCTTGGCAACCGACTGGTATTTGTGACGGTCGCAATGTCCCCGGGGTCACGTGATCCCCTTTTGCGACCTTCTGACAAGCAAAGTCAATGGGGGGAAGCTGGATTCACTTAACAACCGCGTTACTAACTTAACAAGTCCAGTGATTCATTTAACAACTGTGGGGGAAAAGGTGGGAAATGTTGGGCTCAGTTGTGGGTGCAAGTTGAGGACTACCTGTACATTGAAAAAATGCTACCAGACATCTTCTGATTTTTTTAGATCTCTCCAGAGGTTTCTAGACCATCCTTGATTCCATACATCCACCCAATATTCTGTAGTGTATATTGTAGATATGAGTATATGGAGATTCTCAGTCATCCAGGTCATGGTTGTCCCAAAGGTGTGAATTGAAGAAGCTTCATGGATGAGAAGCAAAATGTCTTCAAGGGAAAAAAATCCAGTTGCCTATTGAAAAAGCACTGTTGGTAGATGAGTAGTAATAAATCAGTTTCATTGGAAATTCACATGTGGTCCTGGTCTTTCATGCCTGACAGCTGTCTCATAAGGTAGTTTCTAGAGTAGATGACCTAACTAGTATAGGAAACATGAACATACTTGTTGTCATGGTTCCGGCAGATGAAACTCTTCAAAGAACTTCGAGGCATTGTTTACCTTAAATAATCTTTATTCGAGTAGCATAGCTTCAGCACGTACATAGGCAAAGCCAAAATCTGAATTTCTCTCCCCTGAGCAAATAGTATCAAAGCACAATTCTCTCCTCTAATTAACAGTCATAAATCACATTCTCCAATTAGTTTGAAATGCAGGCTTTCCCTCCAGTTCTTCAACTGGTCATTTCTTATCATCTCTTATTTCAAAAACCTTGGTTCTCACACACTAGTTACAGTATTGTTATGTCTAACTAAACTCCCATGCACATTCCTCCTCCCCCCAGTATCATCTAATTCAAATTCTAATTCTAAGAGTAAAACATAAGAAGGAAAATGGTTGCATCTCCATATGTTGTCAAAGCAAGAACATCCGATGTTAGCAGCGTTGACACTTGTGCTAAATAAAGCTCTAAAGCTTCCTCCTTCCGTTATGTATTCAAGATGGACAGTGATTAATATTTATATGTTACTTATATGTAGGGGTGTAGGTCTATACATATGTTGTATATAGTATGTTTAAATGTGTGTTGTGCATGTGTACACTTTGAGAGCAAGAAACTGAATTTCATTTTTAATGTGTGCCATTGTGCCCACAGTAAAAAATGACAATAAAGGTTATCTATCTATCTATCTATCTATCTATCTATCTATCTATCTATCTATCTATCTATCTATCTATCTATCTATCTATCTACCTACCTACCTACCTACCTACCACCTACTTACCTACCTACCTATCTCATTTACTTACCTACCTACCTACCTACCTACCTATCTACCTACCTACTTATCTATCTATCTATCTAAATCTGAGCTGTTGTTGCACATGTGACATTATGTGTCCAAGCAGATCATTGCTATCATTACAGTTAGCAGGAAATGCTCCATATGGCCTAAGAACGATTAAGGTTGGTAACCTAGTATGATGTATGTACGAATGAGCTTTTAGTAATGCAGAGAAGATCTAGTCTACATAGGGTGGGGTGAGAGAATGGCCTTGGGAGACTGGAGGAGGACACACAACCTTGGGTACAAGTCTTTCTCCTGTCTTCAAGGTCATTCCCACATCCCATCCCACCTGGGCTACATCTTCTCTACATTACCAAAAAGCATCATGTAGATCAGGGGTCTTCAAACATGGCTCTTTTATGACTTGTGGACTTCAACTCCCAGAATTCCTCAGCCAGGCACGCTGGCTGAGGAATTCTGGGAGTTGAAGTCCACAAGTCCTAAAAGGGCCAAGTTTGAAGACCCCTTATGTAGATGTACTCAGTGTTGGAGAAGACTCTTGAGAGTCCCTTGGACAGCAAGGAGATCCAATCAGTCGATCCTAAAGGAAAACAACCCTGGCTGTTCTTTGGAAGGGCAGATGTTCAAGCTGAAGCTCAAATACTTTGACTACCATTTATTGAGAAAAGAGGAGTCATTGGAGAGGACCCCAATGATGGGAAAGATGGAAGGCAAAAGGAGAAGGGTTAGATAGTGTCATTGACACAATGAACATGAATTTGGGCAAATTCCAGGAGACAGTGGAGGACAGAGGGACCTGGAATCTATGGTCCATGGGCTCAGGAAGAGTCAGACATGACTTAGGGACTGAGCAACAACAACAATAACAAAGATGTACTCAAAGAAGAAGAAACAACTCAACAATGAACAATCTTAGAAGAAAAGGTTCACCAACAAGCCATCTTAGAAGAAAATCTAAGATGTCTAGCTTGTATTTTAAAAACCACACGTGGTGGTTGTCTGCAAGAGGGATTCATAATTCCTGTTTCTCTTTGTTTTCCAGCTGGTGGGATTCGTGTATGCCTGTTACGTTGTCAGTGTCTTTACAGAAGAAGAAGACAGTTGTGAGTATTTGCTGTCAGAGATTGCTGTCAGTGTCTATTGATTAAATGGTTTTCTTTTCAATGTTTAGTCGACTGAAGCTGAAGATGTCGATACACGAGAACAGATACTGTTACCAATGGGGAACAAATTGGTTCAACTGGCATTTCAAGGCAATGTTTAGATGTTCAGATGGGTTTTTTTTTTTAAATGAACTGAAACAAAAGGATGATGCCTTTACAATCAAGTTGTTCTCCATGTCCATGGAGATTCTCAGTCATCCAGATTACGGTTGTCCCAAAGATGCTTTTTCAAAGAGCAACTGGACTAATGGCCGGATGACTGCAAGGAGCAGAAATCTTTCCATCCTCCGCCATTCAGTCAGAACTGAAGAAGCTTCTTGGATGAGAAGCAGCATGTCTTCAAGGAAAAATAAAGTCCAGTTGCCTTCTGAAAAAAAGCACTGTTGGGACAACTTGTTCTCCAGTTAAAAGGTTTGCAGAAAGGCAGCCTTTGATAAAATAATCCACAAAATACATTGTACTGGGGAAAAATATTTGCAGAAAATGTGGTTGTTTAGCAGAATGGCCTTTAGGTGTCATCTGCTGGATCATTTTTTAAGTCTTCAGGACACTTTATTATATAGTGTAGTCTGGTAAACAAAGCAAAAAAAAAAAAAAAGAAAGAGGACAGGAAGAAATCAGGATGAAGTTCAAGCTTTTTCTTCCTTCTTTTTCACAATAACTCTTGAAAGAATTCCCTGATGTCACGCAGATGTGCAAGTAACCATCGCACACTGTTTTTAACATGAACATTAACAGTCAAGGTTCGATTTAACCTATCTATAATGTAGCTCCTTCCTTCCTTCCTTCCTTCCTTCCTTCCTTCCTTCCTTCCTTCCTTCCTTCCTTCCTTCCTTCCTTGGTAGAGGAATTGTAGGAGACTGAATATGGAGGAAGAATACATTCATAGGCAAGTAGAGCAATCCAATGATGCATCAAAGAACGATCTGTCAGAATATATCAGGAAAATAATAAAAAGGAAAGAGGAAAGAAGAAAGGAAGATGGAAGAAAGGGATGGAGAGGGGAGAGGGGAGAAGGAAGGAAGGAAGGAAGGAAGGGAGGAAGGAAGGGAGGGAGGAAGGAAGGAAGATGAAAGGCAGGGAGAGAGAGAGGGAGGAAGGAAGGAAGATGGGAGGGAGGGAGGGAGGGAGGAAGGAAGGAAGGAAGGAAGGAAGGAAGATGAAAGGCAGGGAGAGAGGGAGGGAGGAAGGAAGGAAGATGGGAGGGAGGGAGGGCGAGAGGAAGATGGAAGGAAGGAAGGAAGGAAGGAAGGAAGGAAGGAAGGAAGGAAGGAAGGAAGGAAGGAAGATGAAAGGCAGGGAGAGAGGGAGGGAGGAAGGAAGGAAGATGGGAGGGAGGGAGGGCGAGAGGAAGATGGAAGGAAGGAAGGAAGGAAGGAAGGAAGGAAGGAAGGAAGGAAGGAAGGAAGGAAGGAAGGAAGGAAGGAAGGAAGGTCAATACTTAAGCAGAAGTAGATGTCAGCCATGTCAGCCAATTTGAAACCTTGGTTCTGATTTTTATACCAGAGTTTAGAACTGCTCTCTGAGCTTGGAAGGGGAAAAAAAAAACAACTTTGAACCTGGGTCACTTTCTCAGAGACTCTGGAATTGCAGCTTAAAAATATATTGGCTGGCTCAGAAGATAATGGTATTAGATCATTAATCCTCCACTAAACAATGCATTAACTTTGGTTGCTCTATGGGTATATTTTCTTCCAGCAGATCAGAGAACGAAAATTATAAAACCAGGATTAGGGTTTAAGTATGTCAATTGCTTTTCAGAATTGCCTAAAGATGTGTTCTTGATCGTGGTGTTATTGATCCAAATTGCAGTAGAGCTGACCTCTGGATTTCTAGGGCTTTCAATTAATTGCTTGCATTGTTTTTCACCCTCTTTTCCTGAGCCAAGATAAATAACGGTAACCAGAAACTCTGAAAGCAAATTGCATCCCCTTTCATGTGCCTAACATGATTTATCGACCAATTGGAGACAGGTTCATTTCTGAAAGGAGATGTCTCAACTTCTAAGACATTAGTGTTTGGACTTGTGGAGGCCAATCTTTTTGGAAAACTTTATTTTTTTTCTTTTTTCTTTTAATTTAAAGCAGTGGTTCTCAACCTGTGGGTCGGGACCCCATTTGGGGTCGAACGACCATTTCATGGGGGTTGCCAAACAACGCAGTCCACCATTTTTTCCCCTTTTCCTTGGCTGTGCTACTCCCTTTTATTCTATTGGCTTTTGAAAGCCAATAGAATAGACTCTCTTGAATAGAGTCTAATTCTATTGGCTTTCAAAAGCCAATAGGAATTGTCCAGGCTGTCTCTGCCCTGCTGAGCCCGCCAAAAGTCCCATTCTGGAAACGGTGCTGCATCAGTTGAGTAGTCCTCGACTTACGACCGGTTGAGTAGTCCTCGACTTACGACCGGCTGGGGGTCGCGGCATTAAAAAGGTTGAGAACCACTGATTTAAAGCATCCACAGGGTCACATGAGCAAAATTTAGATATTTGGCAACTGGTTCGTATTTATGACGGTTGGGGTGTCCCGAGGTTACGTGACCCCCCTTTTGCGATCTTCTGAGAAGCAAAGTCATTGTGACTAAGTTAACAACTGCAGTGATTCACTTAGCAATTGTGGCGAGAAAGGTCATAAAAGGGGGCAAAACCCACTTCACAAATGTCTCACTTAACGACAGAAACCTTGGGCTCCCTTGTGATCATAAGCCGAGGACCACCTATATAAAAATGAAACATTTAGAACAGACATATCAAACACAAGGCCCGGGGGCCGAAGTGATTTCATGTGGCCCGCAAAGCCATCCTGGAAACAGTGAGGGAACGGCCCCCGCTGCCTTGGCCCTGGCCCAGGCCAGCCGGGAGCCAATATACAATTTTGTGGTGGCCATCTCTGCTGAAACGCATTCAGTCTTAGCTCCACAAGGCTGTCTGGAAATAGCGAGGAACCAGCCCCTGCTGCATTGGCCCCGTCCCCTGGGTGCATGCTGGGGAGGTGTCACCCTTTGTGAGGAATGAAGAAATGCACCATCGCCTGGAAGTGGCCAGCAAATGGCCCTCGCCTACTTCACATATCCGGCTTGATGGGCTCCGGGGGAGGGGTTTCGGCAGGCAGTGAAGCTCCTCCAGCGGACCATGCCTTGGCACTTGCCCCGGTCCCACCCCCTTCTGCCAGAGACCCTCAGATCTGTCCCACTCCTACCCAGGCCCCCCCAGGCACCCTTGACGCAAACAATGTAGAGCTGGTCACACCCACCCAGTAGGCCACACCCATTCCATCCACACCCACCCAGTACGTTGCACCCACCCTGGCCACACAACCCAGCCCCCCAGAGGGCAACCGCAATGCTGATGCGGCCCTCAATGAAATTGAGTTTGACTCCCCTGATTTAGAAGGAGGCAAGAATGATTACACACTGTTAAAATGAGTGAAAAGGGTGTTTAAAAGTTTAAAAGGCATGCATTTTTATGTCAGTTTCTACAAACCTACACTTTTATACAGATGGCTGCTTGCAAAACTATTTTTCTATTGGAATGTCACTTCATACGTTAATTTTGCAGAGAGACACAGGTAATCCTCTACTTGCAACCGTTCGTTTAACAGCTGTTGGAAGTTAGAACAGCATCAAAAAAAATGACTTACAACCAGCCCTCGCATTACAGCCATCACAGCATTCCACAGTCAGATGAAAGTTGTGTGCTTGGCAACTGGCATGTATTTACCACAGGCAGCACCCCAAGGTCATACAGTCACCATTGGCGACCTTCCCAGTTGGCTTCCAAAGTCAATGGGGGGAAGTCGATTTGCTTAACAACGGTAACTCACTTAACAACTGGAGATGCTTCCTTACCAGCTATGTGGCATTATCCATGCCAGGGACTTACTGACTGTTTGCATAAAGACTACAGATAGTCCTCGACTTACATCTATTCACTTCTTGTTGTTAGTTGCGAAGTCGTGTCTGACCCATCGCAACCCCATGGACAACGTTCCTCCAGGCCTTCCTGTCCTCTACCATCTTCTGGAGTCCATTTAAGCTCATGCCTCCTGCTTCAGTGACTCCATCCATCCACCTCCTTCTCTGTCCTCCCCTTCTTCTATTGCCCTCAATCTTTCCCAGCATTAGGCTCTTCTCTAGTGAGTCCTTCCTTCTCATTAGGTGGCCAAAGTACTTGAGTTTCAACGTCAGAATCTGGCCTTCTAAAGAGCAGTCAGGGTTGATCTCCTCTAGGACTGACCGATTTGATCGCCTTGCTGTCCAGACTCACAGGAGTCTTCTCCAGCACCATAGTTCAAAGGCCTCAGTTCTTTGGCGCTCAGCCTTTCTTATGGTCCCACTTTCACAGCCATACATTGCAACTGGGAAAACCATGGCCTTGACTATACGTACTTTTGTTGGCAGGGTGATGTCTCTGCTTTTTAGTATGCTGTCTAGATTTGCCATAGCTTTCCTCCCCAGGAGCAAGCGTCTTTTAATTTCTTGGCTGCAGTACCCATCTGCGGTGATCTTGGAGCCCAGGAAGATAAAATCTGTCACTACCTCCATTTCTTCCCCATCTATTTGCCAGGAATTGATAGGGCCAGATGCCATGATGTTGGTTTTCCTAAAGTTGAGTTTCAAGCCAACTGAACGCCGAAAAAAGTGACTTAAGGCCATTTTTCACACTTACGACCGTTGCATCCCCAAGGTCACGTGATCAAAATTCAGATGCTTGGCAGCTGCTTCACATCTATGACGGCGGCAGTGTCCCCGGGGCTCATGCGATCCTCTTTGACACCCTCCTGACAAGCAAAGTCCACAGGGAAGTCAGATTCGCTTAACAACCGGGTTACTAACTTTACAACTGCAGTGATTCACTTAACAACCGTGACAAGAAAGGTCGCAAAATGGAACGAAACTTACTTAACAACTGTCTCACCTAGCAACAGAAGTTTCAAGCTAAAGGATGGTTGCAGATCGAGGATTACCTGTATATTTAGAAGGGATCCTAAGGGCAATTTGAGATTTACCCAGCACCATACTCATTGGTTGGCTGTCCTCCAAATTAACCAATAGAGACAGGAGGCAAATTTAAGCAGGTTTTCTCTTTCTTCCATTCTCTCCTCTTTGACTGTCGACTCCTCTCTCGTCCAGTTGTTCATTTAATACACGGGACGGCATTTTGCAAGGCCAAGTGGCATGGGACAGGAAGCAGAACTGGAAAGAGAAGAAGGCATCCATGTTGGAGGGGGAGAAAATCTGTATTTCTCAATAACTTCAAAGAGAAAGCAATGATGCAGGGGCGATTTATCAAGAAACCCATAGCTAATTTCAAGCTGTTTCCTCTGCTGTCATCCTGCAAGGTGCCAAGTCCCCAATGCCAATCCCGGTAATTAATACTTAAAAACCACCAATATTTCAATCTCGGAATGAAAGGGTTTTCCGTTGACCAGAACTAATGGGTGGTGTTTGTTTTCCCGGCAATTCTTTGAAATTGTTCCTTTGATATGAATCAGAGGAGACAGAGAGGCACCCTGTGAAGTGATGTCAACCCCACGAGATGGGCCAACACCAGGAAATCAACTCCACAAGGAGACAACTTTTATTGAGATGGGCTGTTGACAGTATCTTATGAATAGAATAGAATAGAATAGAATAGAATAGAATAGAATAGAATAGAATAGAATAGAATAGAATAGAATAGAATAGAATAGAATCTGTTAGGAATTTTCCCAAATATCTGCTTCTATAAAATGAAACACTGCAGATGCAGACTTTCGCCATAGGATGCTACTCAACCTATTTAACTAACAGGATAAAAGGGATGGGAGGGACCTTGGAGGTCTTCTAGTCCAACCCCCTTCTCAGACAGGAGACCCTATACCATTTCAGACAGTCTCTTCTTAAAAACTTCCAGTTTTGGAGCACCCACAACTTCTGGAGGCAAAGCTGTTCCACTGGTTGATTGTCCTCACTGTTGGGAAGTTTCTCCTTAATTCCAGGTTGCTTCTCTCCTTGATCAGTTTCCAACCATTGTTTCTTGTCTTGCTCTCTGGTGCTTTGGAGAATAACAGGACCCCCTCTTCTTTGTGGCAGCCTCTCACATACTGGAACACTGCTATCATGTCTCCCCTATTTCTTCTTTTCTTTAGACTAGCCAAACCCAAGTCCCGCAGCCGTTCTTCCTATGTTTTAGTCTCCAGGCCTTTGATGAGTCTAAATCCCCTGGAGAAAAAGTAGCATGTCACTCTAATAGGTGGTAAATGTCTATGGATATTCTCAGTCATCCAGGCCTTGGTTGTCCCAAAGGTGCTTTTTTCAAAAGGCAACTGGATTTTCTTTGTTTTTCCTTGAAGACGTTTCGCTTCTCATCCAAAAATCTTCTTCAAACAAGCTAACTTTTGAAAAAGGTCCTTTGGGTCTAAGAGGTGGTAGTAATTCTTTGTTCCAAGAATGCACAATTTGATTGGAACAATAATAATTTCAACAATATGGGGCAGGGGTAGGCAAACATGGCTCTTATATGACTGGTGGACTTCAACTCCCAGAATTCCTGAGCCGGCATGGCTCAGCTTGGAAAACCTCTCCCTTTTCCCTCAGCGTGGCTGGCTCAGGAATTCTGGGAGTTGAAGTCCATGAGTCATAGAAGAGCCACGGTTGCCTACGCCTGATATAGGTCATCTTTGACTTGCAACCATTTGTTTAGTGAATGTTTGAAGATACAATGGCACCGAAAAAAGTGACTTATTACTGGTTCTTGCACTTAACGGCCGTCATACCATCCCCACATAATCAAAATATGGGTGCTTGGTCCCTGGCATATATTTATAATAGTTGCAATATCCAGGGTCACATGATCACCGTTTGCGACTTTCTCAGTCAGATTCCAACAAGCAAAGTGAATGAAGGACACCAGATTTGCCTAATGACTGAAGGATTCACTTAATGGCAGCGATTCCCTTAACAAACAAGCGTGGTAAAAGGGGTCATGAAATCGGGTGTGACTCGCTTAGGAATGGTGTCACTTAGCAACAGAAATTCTGGTCCCAGCTGACAAAATGGCTGCCACCTATTTCTTAAAATGAAAAACCGCATCTGAGAATTTTCCAACCAATTGGAAATTCCAAATCCCTCCCTGCTTTTTCAGGAGGCAACTGGACTTTCTTGTTCGTTTCGCTTCTCATCCAAGAAGTTTCTCCAGCTCTTGATTGGATGGCGGGGAATGGAAGGATTGATACTCCTTGCAGACAGCTGGTCATTTGCATCCTTTAGAGAGTCGTTGAGGCCACCTGGAAGTTCTTCTGTATCCTCAGGGTCACCTGAGTGGTGCAAATGAGTGTGGAGCCTCCTTGGAAGTGCTGAAAGGACTGTGTAGTAGACTGTAGATAGATGATATCATATCCCTCCCCCTCTGTTGAGAGAGGGCTGCTCAATTTTGACCTAGATGGCCTCTTTGACCCTTCTTTCAAACCAGGGGTCCTCTCTGTCCAAAATGTGAACTTTGCTGTCTTTGAAAGAGCGGCCTTTGTCCTTTAAATGCAGATGGACTGCTGAAACTTGTCCTGATGGGTTTGTTCTCCATGTGTTTATGAAGTGGTTGTTTTGTTTCCCCTTGCTGTCTGCAAGGAGTATAAATCCTTCCATTCCCCACCATCCAGGCAGAGCTGAAGAAGCTTCTTGGATGGGAAGCGAAGAAGAACAAAGAAAAACAAGAAAGGGCAGTTGCCTCATGAAAAAGCATCTTGGGGACAACTACGACCTGGATGACTGAGAATCTCCATAGACAAACGAATTGGATAAAGAGCAGGGAAAGAAGCAACGGATGGAAACTAATCAAGGAAAGAAGCGACTTAGAACTAAAGAGGAATTTCCTGACAGTGAGAACAATGACCAGGGGAACGGTTTGCCTCCAGAAGTTGTGGGTGCTCCAAAACTGGAGGTTTTTAAGAAGAGACTGGGCAGCCATTTGTCCAAAATGGTATAGGGCAGGGGAAGGCAACCTTGGCTCTTTTATGACTCGTGGACTTCAACTCCCAGAATTCCTGAGCCAGCATGGCTCAGCTTGGAAACCTCTCTCTTTCCCATCAGCCTGGCTGGCTCAGGAATTCTGGGAGTTGAAGTCCACGAGTCATAAAAGAGCTGAGGTTGCCTACCCCTGTCTGAGAAGGGGGTTGGACTAGAAGACCTCCAATGTCCCTTCCATCCCTTTTATTCTGTTAATTAAATAGGTTGAGTAGCATCCTATGGTTAAAGTCTGTGTCTGCAGTGGTTCATTTTATAGAAGTAGATATTGTTTGCTTAAACAATAAACAATTTGGGAAAACTCCTAGCACTATCATGTTCTAATTATAAAAATGTAGAACAGTTAAGCATTTGTTTGATTCTCGAAATCAACGGGACATTTGCATGCTTAGATGAGTTTATGCCCTTTTATTTTGCACCTTTGGTTTCATTTTGCTTTGTGTTTTACACCCACGTCTTTGCATCCTCTTATGTGCTGTCCTCCTCGCCTTCCTCTCATTATGTTTCAATTGTTCCATTGTTATTGCTTGTGTTGTGGATTTTTTTTTTCTTTCAGTTGATTTCATTGGTGGATTTGACCCATTCCCTCTCTACCATGTTAATGAAAAGCCTTCCAATCTTTTGTTCAAGCAGACGTATCTGTAAGTATGCTGTAGCAAGGCTCCGATGCGCTTTTCTTGGTGATTCTTGAAATAAATCAAAGAATTTTATTAGAGGTGACTACAGGGTATGATTTTAAAAAATGCCAAAATGGCTTCCACAATGGTACAATCCAAATTCCCTAAAGATAGGTTGCTGACAGAGCTTGGATCTGTCTAGCTGTCTGTCTTTCTATATGTGTCTGTCTGTCTATATCTGCCTCTTTCTATTTATGTCTCTGTGCCTATCTATCTCTGTATCTATCTCTGTATCTATCTATCTATCTATCTATCTATCTATCTATCTATCTATCTATCTATCTATCTCTGTATCTCTGTATCTATCTATCTATCTATCTATCTATCTATCTATCTATCGCTGTATCTATCTATCTATCTATCTATCTATCTATCTCTATATATCTATCTCTAAATCCATCTATCTATCTATCTCTATATCTATCTCTATATCCATCCATGTCTGTCTATCTATCTGTCTGTCTGTCTGTCTGTCTGTCTGTCTCTATATCCATCCATCCATCCATCCATCCATCCATCTCTATCTATCTTTCTATCTATCTATCCATCCATCCATCCATTTCTATCTATCTATCTATCTATCTATCTATCTATCTATCTATCTATCTATCTATCTATCTATCTATCTCTATATCCATCCATCCATCCATCCATCTCTATCTTTCTATCTATCTATCCATCCATCCATCCATCTCTATCTATCTATCTATCTATCTATCTATCTATCTATCTGTCTATCTATCCATCCATCCATCCATCCATTTCTTTCTATCTATCTATCTGTCTGTCTGTCTGTCCGTCCGTCCGTCCATCCATATCTATCTATCTATCTATCTATCCATCCATCCATATCTATCTATCTATCTATCTATCTATCTATCTATCTATCTATCTATCTATCCATCCATATCTATCTATCCATCCATCCATCCATCCATCTATCACATTTTTAAATGGGTAGAGCTTGGACTGACCCTTGTGGCTGCCATCTTGACTTCCACCCAAGGCCACCTCTGAATGTTATGATCACAAAGATTCCCTAACTAATTTCGCTGATTTTGCCAATTTTTCTGACCTTGAAAATCCTGCACAGACCAAGGGATTGGATTAGATTTTTCCCAATCTGTGATTCTAACCTTTTATCTGGTATTGTGCCTGAGAAAAAACTTGCAGATGCATTTTAATTTTGCCTTACCAACATCAAAGTAGTTAAGGGAAACATTAGTAGGTTTCATAGATTCTCTCACCCGCTCAAATGAAGGTTAGGAAATAAATAAAAATCAGTAAATCATGGTCATGGATGCACTGTAAGAATGTGATAAGTGAGATGCATAATATGCTGGTCTAAAAACCAGGAGACTGTGAGTTCTACTGCTGCCTTAGGCATGAAAGCCGGCTGGGTGACTTTGTGCCAATCACCAGGAGACTGTGAGTTCTAGTCCTCCTTAGACATGAGAGCTGGTCAGATGACTTTAGACAAATCAGCAGGAGACGGTGAATCCTAGTCCTGCCTTAGCTATGAAAGTCAGATGCTGGACCCAGTCCTCATTCTCAGCTCAACCTGCTTCACAGGGTTCTTGTGGGGGGAGGGGGAGGGCGGAAGAGAAGGAGAAAGTAATTATAAAGTAATAAAGACAGGATAAAGATATAATAAATAAAAATACGTTTAGATAGAATACTGAAAAAAAGAAAACAGATTAGGCAAAAGTACGATTCATAATGTTGTCTCTGTTCACTTTGCAATACAGTATAAGAGGAGAGAAATCACCATCCAAATTTTTAGGGACCCTATTAATACTGCTGGGGTAATTTATTAATTAATAAATAAATAAATAAGGGAGAATGCTGGATATTGCTGTAACCCAGCTCCCCCCCCCCTTCTGAATTAGCTGGGTGGAATGCAAAGCCAGTCAGCCTTTTGGCAGTTGAATTGCATTCCTGTTGCATTCCCTGGGCCCTGCGCTTAATGTACGAGAGAATGAACAGGGTGAGCTAATTTCACAGAGCTCAAGCAGTGTGGGATTTGGAGAAAGAAAAAAAGGAAAGGAAAGGAAAGGAAGGGGGAGGGGGAGGGGAGGGAGGGAGGAAGGAAGGAAGGAAAGTGGGTGGAGAGGGAGGAAGGGAGGGAGGGAGGCAGGGAGGGAGGGAGGAAAGAAGGAAGGAAGGAAAGTGGGTGGGAAGGAAGGGAGGAAGGAAGGAAAGCAGGGAGGGAGAAAGGAAGGAAAAGGAAAGATGGAAGGAAAGTGGGTGGGGAGGGAGGAAGGGAGGAAGGCAGAGAGGGAGGGAGGGAGGGAGGAAAGAAGGAAGGAAAGTGGGTGGGTGGGTGGGAAGGAAGCGAGGGAGAAAGGAAGGAAGGAAGCAGGGAGGAAGGAAGGAAGGAAAGTAGGTGGGAAGGGAGGGAGGAAGGAAGGAAGGAAGCATGGAGGAAGGAAGGAGAGAAAGAAGGAAAGTGGGTGGAAAGGAAGGGAGGGAGGGAGAAAGGAAGGAAGGAAGTGGGGTGGGAAGGGAGGGAGGGAGGAAAGAAGGAAGGAAGGAAGGAAGGAAGGAAGGAAGGAAGGAAGGAAGGAAGGAAGGAAGGAAGGAAGGAACTAGAAAGGTTCTTGCATGATAGTTGAAGACTCTGGTTACAAAAACAGGACTCCTTCCTAAGCACTGGATCTGAGACGTTTGTTTTAACAATTAATCAGTGGAACAGCCTGCCTCCAGAAGCAGTAAATGCTCCAACACTGGAAGTTTTTAAGAAGAGACTGGACAGCCATTTGTCCGACATGGTGTAGGGTTTCCTGCCTGAGCAGGGGGTTGGACTAGATGACCTCCAAGGTCCCTTCCAACTTTATTACTATTACTATAGTAACCCTTGGAAAAACAGCCTGATACTGTATAGAACTGAAGCTCCCATAAGCTTCATAAGCAGCTTGGGCAGAGAGACGTAGTCTACTTCCACGGTGAGATGCAAGGGGTCTAATTAGCTTCACCCAACGCTCACCTCAAGGCAGCCCTTCAGGTGGTCACAGGTAGCTCTGAAGAATGACAGAAGAAATTTTTTCTCTGGCCAAAGTGGCTTCCAGCCTTGCTGGCTGCAGGGCTAGCTGTGGCTTTTGTCAAAGCCGTCAGGGGGGAGATCTTCAATGCATACAGAAGACACTCCGGGCTGGAAACCATCAGCACACGCTGGGCTATCTCATCACACACGCCCAGCCTGGGATCACATTCATGCTGCTTTCTCCACACGGCTTTCTTAAGTTCTGGGATCCTTTTATATCCCTTGCCTCCTTCTGTTGGCAGGAGAGAAGCAGTAAGCCAATCCTTTCATGCAGTGGTGGGATTTAAATATGTGAACAACCGGTTCTCTGTGTGGATGCCACTTCCGGAAGTCTGTTCTGGGCCTGGGCAACAAAAAATTAGCTACCGGTTCTGCCGAAGTGGTGCGAACTGGCTGAATCCCACCACTGCTTTCATGCCCGAAGGTTTCCTCAAAGTCTCCGCAATTGGCCATCAGCTGGAAAGACCCAAGTGACAGGACGTGAGATTTTTGATCTTATTAGTCTCCATTAGCTTCTCAGAGTGGTTGTGAGAAAAATGAAAAAGCCAGAGATTGGGAGAACCAGTCTCCCAATTAGGCCAGTTTGGTCTAGTGCAGGGGTCCCCAAGCTGGTAAACATTGGTTTATCCTAGATCAGGGGTCTTCAAACTTGGCCCTTTTATGACTCGTGGACTTCAACTCCCAGAATTCCTGAGCCAGCATGGCTCAGCTTGGAAAGCTCTCCCTTTCCCCTCAGCATGGCTGGCTCAGGAATTCTGGGAGTTGAAGTCCACGAGTCATAAAAGACCCTAATGGGAGGGGGAAAAAAGGAGATAAATATTCTTTTGAATTTCAGGATTGAATGCTTTCCAAATTGCTCCTCGTTTGGAAGGAGGCAGCCGGAGATTAAATATCGATTTCTCACTTTCTTTTTGCAAAGTGGGGATACACAATGCCTCTGTGGAGCAATGGCAAAGCTGCTTGATTTACTAATCCGGAGGAAAAAAGCTCACGGTTAGGGAAGAAAAGACGGACTTGAGGACCCGGGGGGTGGGGGGGTGGAAGGAAGGTGTCTGATCATTTTGCAAGAAAGATAGCATAAAAAATATTGGTGACGAATCATCCCTACCACCCAGAGTAATGCTTACATCCTGGAAACATCTGAGTCCTGAGCACGGTGGTAAAAGCACCCTGTGAAAATCCTTCCCTAGGGACAATGGTGGGCATTTAGGCATCACTCACTAGCGCAACCAAGAGTGTTCAGCATTATAAGTACCATGGGGTTTGACACTGAGTGATGTCTTTCTATGGGGAACAGAAAGTACAGCGTTTCGCAGATGGACTCCCGCTTTGCACAACCAGCCCTGGTAAACCGCAGGGATTCTGCACTCTGCAAACTGACCAGCCATCAGTTCGCAATGAGCGTGCTTTTCTCTCTAATGCTTGTGGGTTTCTGGTGAATAAACCCTTTACATATATCATAATTCCTTTAGTGTAGCAGAATTCTTTCTAGCATGTCTAACAGCCTCCTAAGGGATGCTGCAAAATGTAGAGAGTCGAAGAAGAAGAAAGGCGCCTGAAGGCAGGACAAGAAGCAACGGATGGAAACTAATCAAGGAGAGAAGCAACCCAGAACTAAGGAGAAACTTCCTGACAGTGAGAACAATTAACCAGTGGAACAACCTGCCTCCAGAAGCGGTGAATGCTCCAACACTGGAAGTTTTTAAGAAGAGACTGGACAGCCATTTGTCTGAAATGGTGTAGGGTTTCCTGCCTGAGCAGGGGGTTGGACTAGATGACCTCCAACACCCCTTCCAACATCATTATCATTATTATTATTATTATTATTATTATTATTGACAAATTACTGATTTATTGGTAATTACTAACTTAATTACTTATCAATCTATAAAGCATGTACAGCACGTGTGTCTGGGGGACAAACTAAGTTTTAAAAGAACAACATAACAAATAAACTGAAAAATCACAACAACCCCAAGCATGAATTGCAATAAAAACCATAACACAATTTAGGGAAGAGTGTAATTCGATTCCCTATAACTATAACTGTAAATCATATTGAAGGGATTTTATTGCGCTTATGATTTTAGTATGTTTAAAATCCCTTCAATATAATTATATTATTTTATAATTATGGAGACTTTTCCTGACAGTGAGAACAATGAACCAGTGGATTTTCATAAGGAAGTGAATTCATGGTTGCAAAACTCGGCCCTATAGGCCTGAGAGCTGTTGCCTGGTGACTAGTCCTTAAGACTAGTCAAGTGACTAGTCCTTAAGACTGGGAAAGACATGCAGCCTACTTGAGAAATTCTCAGCAGAGAAGTTGAGCAGAATTTCCAAGGACGAGGAAGCTGCCAAGCTGCCCCAAAGCTTCCCTGCTCACTCAAGTCAAATACCCCTGCAAAGAGGCAGGAATGTGAGTTGATTTGCTTAACTTACAGATTTCAGCATCCCGCCTGGAGCTTTTTAGTAGAGAAGGAACTTTTTTTTTTATTGTCATGACTAGTTTTTAACTATGTATAGTATCCAAGTCCTGCCAACCTAACAATTTGAAAGCATGCAAATAATAATAATAATAATAACAACAACAACAACAACCTGGAGACAGCAGAATAGATGAGAAAGAACTGGAGAAGATAACAAAATACAAAGGCCTACAAATAGAAATAGAAAGACTGTGGCAAAAGCAAGCAAGAGTAGTACCAATAGTGATAGGCTCCTTGGGTGCAATCCCAAAACAACTGGAGCACCACTTGAATACCATTGGCATTGACAAATTCGCTATTAGTCAATTGCAAAAGGCGGCCTTACTAGGAACTGCTTCCATCCTGCGACGATATCTGTAATACCATCAAACATCCACATCTGCCTATCCCAGTTCCTGGGTAAGGACTTGATAGGTAGACAAAATGCCAAATCCAGTCTGAACATCTGGCTGACTGTGCGATAATCCATAATAATAATAATAAAGTTGGAAGGGACTTGGAGGTCATCTAGTCCAACCCTCTGCTCAGGCAGGAAACCCTATACCATTTCAGACAAATGATTGTCCAGTCTCTTCTTAAAAACTTCCAGTGTTGGAACATTCACCGCTTCTGGAGGCAGGTTGCTCCAGGTTAATTGTTCTAATTGTCAGGAAGTTTCTCCTTAGTTCTAGGTTGCTTCTCTCCTTGATTAGTTTCCATCCATTGCATCTTGTCCTGCCTTCAGGTCCTTTGGAGAATACTTGACTTCCTCTTCTTTGGGGCAGTCCCTGAGATACTGGAAGGCTGCTATCATGTCCCCCCTCGTCCTTCTCTTCATTAAATGCAAATAGGTAAATAGGTACCATTTCAGTGGGAAGGTAACAGCATTCCGTGATGTCATGCTGGTCACATGACCGTGGAAATGACTTTGGGACAGTGCTGGCTCAATGGCCTTGAAATGGAAATGAGCAGCGCCCCCTAGGGTCAGCAATAACTTGCAGAGTAGAATCTGCAGGGACTTCGTTATCTTTTTATCTTATAGTATCCAAGGCCTGCCTCGCAGGATGTAATGGTATGTGAGAATGACCTTGGGAGAGAGGAAGAAAATGTTGCAGACTCAGCAACAGTCAGAGAAGAGGCAGCTTAGCAATGAAGGTGTAGCAAATGGTTTTTTATTATTATTATAAAGGTGATGGGGAGGGAGAGAGATTTGGGTATGTCTACTTTAACTGAAAAGAAGGACTAGGGGTGAGATGATAGCAGTGTTCCAATAGGGGCAACCATAAAGAAGAGGGAGTCAAGCTATTCTCCAAACCATCTGAGGGCAGGGCAAGAAGCAACGGATGGAAAGTAATCAAGGAGAGAAGCAACCTGGAACTAAGGAGGAATTTTCTGAATGTGAGAATGATTAATCAGTGGAAGAAGTTGCTTTCAGAAGTTGTGAGTGTGCCAACACTGGAGGCTTTTAAAAAAGAAACTGGACAGCCATTTGTCTGAAATGGTCTAGGACAGGGGTAGGCAACCTTGGCTCTTTTATGACTGGTGGACTTCAACTCCCAGAATTCCTGAGCCAGCCACGCTGAGGGGAAAGGGAAAGATTTCCAAGCTGAGCCATGCTGGCTCAGGAATTCTGGGAGTTGAAGTCCACAAGTCATGAGGGGCCATAGTTCCCCATGGTGGCTCAGGAATTCTGGGAGTTGAAGTCCACGAGTCATAAAAGGGCCAAGTTTGATGAGCCCTCTTCTATCTAATTGCAGGGCTGGGCAACCTTGGCTTTTACGGGACTTGAGTTTCAGCTAGTCCAGGGGTAGGCAACCTTGGCTCTTTTATGACTTGTGGACTTCAACTCCCAGAACTCCTGAGCCAGCCATGCTGAGGGAAAAGGGAGAGGTTTCCATGCTGAGCCATGCTGGCTCAGGAATTCTGGGAGTTGAAGTCCACGAGTCATAAAAGAATCAAGGTTGCCTACCCCTGGTTTAGGGTTTCCTGCCTGATCAGGGGGTTGAACGAGAAGACCTCCAAGGTCCCTTCTAACTCTGTTATTCTGTTAGAGATGCTTTTGGAATCTTCAAGATTCTGTTAAGGCAGCGGTTCTCAGCCTGTGGGTCGGGACCCCATTTGGGGTCAAACGACCATTTCACGGGGGTCGCCAAACAACACAGTCCGCCATTTTCCCCCCCCCTTTTCCTTAGCTGTGCTACTCCCTTTTATTCTATTGGCTTTTGAAAGCCAATAGAACAGACTGTCTTGAATAGAGTTTAATTCTCTTGGCTTTCAAAAGCCAATAGGAATTGTCCAGGCTGTCTCTGCCCTGCTGAGCTCGCCAAAAGTCCCATTCTGCAAACGGTGCTGCACCAGTTGAGTAGTCCTCGACTTACAACCGGTTGAGTAGTCCTCGACTTACGACCTGTTGGGGGTCGCGGCATTAAAAAGATTGAGAACCACTGTGTTAAGGTAACATCACCATACATTTAGACTTGGGTACTTTTGGATTTTGAGTGCTTTTTATCTGGGCTACCTCGCAAGATTGGCAGCAGCCTTGCAAGTCTAGGAGTGCATTTCTCCCCCTCCCCTTCGCACCTTTATAGCCCAAGACACTGGGGAGGGTCCCTTCTGAGACATTTGCCCGGCTCCCATTCCTTCTGCAGATCCAGCTGCCGCTTGTCTGATGTTGTCTTGTCTGCAGCTCTTCCCCCTGTCTCTCGAAATCGTCCTCCCATATCTTTTCACAGTGTCCTTGGCACAGATTAGAAACTTCCAGGCCATTATGGTGTTGCATGAACATTTCTTGAATGATGGTGTTGTAGAAGTGAGAGGCTTGAGTCAGCTCTTTCAAGGAAAGGGAAGTTTATTGCGCAGGTTCAGAGAGCTATCATAGCAAAAAGAGTCTGAACACCAGACTAGGCGTAGATGATCATTTTTATAACCCTTAATACGTCAGTATTGCCTGATCAAGACATATTCCATACATGGTTACATTCTATAGTTCCTTATTCTAACAGAGGAAAGTTACTAGACATGGTTATAAGCTATAGTTCCTCTTTTAACATAGGAATGCTTTTAGCAATATTTCAAGCAGTTTTCAATACACCATGTGATAAACAGTTTGCAATATATCATGTGCAGAGCTGAGAACAGGATGTCTGGCCATTCTAATTTTAAGGGTTGTCTAGTAAGCAGGAAAACCTCCCTTTCACCCACAATTTCTGTCGGACAATCAGTATTTTTCCAGCTTCCCACTTTAATGGCAAAGCCTCCAGGTGGCTGGCTGTCTCTAATTCTGGGCTCTTCTCTGTCTAGTCATCTAAACATGTTGTGTTCACATTTTTCCTAGGCCTGCGTAAGTGACAAGGATCCAGCATCCGGAGAGGTGGGAACATCCATCCCTCCATTGAAATGCCAAATGTTCAGCTGGGTGCTGGAGGCAGCCAGGGAATGGGAGATGCCTTCCACTTGAAAGAGTACGCCTCCATGGGATCCCTATTCTCTACTTGGTGCTTCAGGCTTGCTGGCATCTGCTCAGACAATGCCTCATTAGTGGATTTTGTAGGTTTTGTTATGAATGAATATTTCCTTCTTTCTCCTCCCTGCCCATGCCCTATCTTTACTCTATTGGGACTACGAAGAGAGCATTTGGGAAATACATATTTGACTCTTTTCTTCTGTACGAAAACGAACTGCATCACCTCTGGATATTTCGAGGCATAAACTCGGTTATTATCAGTGGACTAATTCTCACTCCCCTTCAATCCCCGTCTACCCCGAACAATCTCAATTTTGTTGTTTCTATTAATGGACAAGCTGTTAATTAAAATTATCTGTATCTGGGAATTCTTCTAAGTGTTGCAGAAAACAGGATTTGGAACAGCCCGGTCCTTAAATTCCCCACTTTGCTCTCTTAACTATTCTTCACTTGGGGACAATTAAAATTGGTTGGAAGCTTCAACCGGCAAGCAAAACAGGGCAATTAGAACCGTAGACAAAATGTCAGTTTTAGCTCCAGCCCATTGAGAAGGTCCCGACTTACTTGTCGTTTATTGCATTTTCATTTAAAAGAAATATGTGTTAGTTGAAATGTCTCAAAGGTGCTTTCTCGAAAGGCAACTGGACTTTCTTAGTTTTTCCTTGAAGACGCTTCACTTCTCATCTAAGAAGCTCCATCGGTTCTGCCAGGGATGGTGGTGGTGGGGGAATGGAAGGATTACCGTATTTTCCGGCGTATAAGGCGACCCGGCGTATAAGGCGACCCCCGACTTCGGCGCTGATTTCCATGCCTAGAAAGTCATCTTATCTGCCGGAAACTACCCGTAATTTCCAGCGTATAAGACGACTCGGCGTATAAGACGACCCCCGACTTCGGCACCGATTTCCACGCTTTAGAAAGTCGTCTTAACGCCGGAAAATATGGTATATTTCCTGGCAGTCATCTAGTCATTTGCACACTCTCTCAGAGCCATTGAGGCCACTTGGGGGTTGTGCCCTCAGGGTCACCCAAATCAGAGGGCAAGCGGGTGTGGAACCTTCTTGTAACTACTAACAGAACTGCGTTGTAAACAGGAGATAGGTGGAGTCTTATCCCTCCCTCTCTATTGAGAGAGGACTCTTCAGTTTTAACCTATAGTAATGGCCAAAATTGTGGAAACCTTTTGGGAAAAGTGTACAGTAGACATGCCACCTTTGGTTCAGTTTCCACCCATTTTTCTTCTAATTCCTTTATAACTGTAGCCTTGTTCACTTAATAATACTGTTTCACATCGCTTTCTGGGCAACCAGTCAACTCTTGGCACCATTACTTTTATTTTATTACATTTTACAAGCTCACTCAATGAAAGAACACAAAAAAACCCAACCAACTTGATAGCGATCACATAACACACTGACAAATGTCCTCCTCTCAGCTTCAATACAGGACATCAATAACTGAATCCTACTGTGATCTGACTGGCTCATGGCCAAAACAAGATGACACCTGATTGGCTCTCTAAACACTCATGCTCATTGGCTACAATCAGATGAAGGAAAGCTACCTGAGATCAACCTAAGCAAGTTGTGCTTCCTTTTTCTGGTTATTTGGCTATAACCTTTCATAGAATACAGTACAGATAATTGAACAAACTTTGTTGCATTACATTCTTGATTAAATTATCTTTCCATTGATATATAATTTTATGGTACTGCTCCCAAAAAAGGGGTGTTATTAGCCATCAAACCTCAAAAATACACTTTTCCCAAAAGGTTTCCACAATTTTGGCCACTACTGTAGATGGCCCCTTTTATCCCTCTTTGAAACCAATGGTCCACATCCTGGACAGAGAGGACCATCGGTTTGAAGAAGGTGGACTTCAAGTCCTAGAATTCCCCAGCTAGCCATCTCTTTTAAAGTTGCATGGCATAGCTGGCTGAGGAATTCTGGGAGTTGAAGTCCACCTATTTTAAAAGTTGCCCAGGTTGAGAAAAACTGATCTAGGGGAAGAATTAAAGTCACATACATAGACCACAACACTTCATACTGTCTTTTGCACGGGCTGTTTCAATGTTGAACTCACAACATCTCTACCACCTTTTAATTGGAGGTGTCAGAAGCTGGACCTGGGACCTTTTGCAATTGGTATCACAAAGCTGTGTGAGCCAACTGCAGATATTCTAGCACTGGGATGATAGAACTGCAGCCTTCCGCAGTGTGTATTGCCGTGAATCTTTAACGGTGAAGGTGGAGGACAAGAAGAGAGAATGCCGAAGTGGTATATGGTTTTTAAAGGCGGCATTAGTTAAGATCCCCATGAATTGAGATCGACTCTTTTATGTTGGCATGGACACAACTGTGTACATTTTCTTGGCAAACCTACTGAAATGCTTTATTAATATATTTGTTCAGTATGTTCTATTGCAGACATGTCAAACACAAGGCCCGCGAAGCCATCCTGAAAACAATGAGGGAACGGCCCCCTCTGCCTTGGCCCTGGCCCAAGCTGGCTGGGAGCCAATGTACAATTTTGTGGTGGCCATGTATGCTGAAATGCATTCAGTCTTAGCTCCATAAGCCCCTCCTCCCGCATGGCCTGAGAGGAACAGTGAGGCTCCTCCAGTGGACCATGCCTTGGCACTTGCCCTGGTCCCACCCCCTTCTGCCAGAGACCCTCAGATCTATCCCACTCCTGCCCAGGCCCCCACAGGCACCCTTGATGTGAATGATGTAGAGCTGGCCACACCTACCCAGCAGGCCACACCCACTCCATCCACGCCCACCCAGTAGGCTGCACCCACCCTGGCCACACCCACCCGGCCCCCTGAGGGCAACCGCAATGCTGATGCGGCCCTCAATGAAATTAAGTTTGACACCCCTGTTCTATTGACTTCCTACTTGAACCAACAGCCCTGAGTGGTTTCCCGCCCAAGTCTTAACCTGGGATGATTCTACCCGATTGAGTCCCAAGAAAAACAGCTAGATGCTGCTGTTCATTGACATGCAATCTTCATTTTGACTAGCAACATATATCACCATCTAGGGTTGTTGGACCTGTGGTCAGTTGTGCAACCCAGAGCGCTCCATGCTACAATTCCGACTGTCCAGTTTTTCCATGACCACAACCACATCACACCACTCTCCACAGCAGTGAACATTGTCAGACTCTATCTCCCTTTTCATCACCATATTTTCCTCCTTTTTTTTTTTTTTTTTTACTTCTACCAATCTAGGTATTTTCTCCCAATCCCATTGATATCTCCTTCTTCTGTGTGCATAGATTAAAATGTTGACTGTGTAAGTGACAGCAGTAGGAGCTTGGATAACACCCGTTCGTTGGACAATCAATAAGTTTGATGCATTCTTTAATCTTTGGTTTTGCATCGTAAGACTGAAGAAGACCACCTACATGTCAGACACTCATAAATCCCCCCAATTTGCTGCAGGCTTCCAACTCAGGACCATGCAGGTTTGACATTATGGGAGTCGCAGCCGATCAAGATGGGGAAGCTATAATAAAATCTATAAACTTGATTAAAATCTCAAGAGTCTCTCTACTGGATCCAGCCTTGAAAGCAATTTTAGATGGCTCACTCAGAAGACCTAACCATGTGGATTTGCACAAGCCTATAAAATTATTGTACGGTTTGACCTGTAAGGTGATGGTCGTTTTCTAACTTATATTATATCTTTGTAGGGTTTTGTGGCTCATGGCAAACCTCTAAAGCAGGGGTCTTCAACCTCGGCAACTTTAAGACTTGCGGACTTCAACTCCCAGAATTCCTCAGCCAGCTGAGGAATTCTGGGAGTTGAAGTCCGCAAGTCTTAAATTTGCCAAGGTTGACAACCACTGGTCTAAAGCCTTTAAGGCTAGGTAATGCCCAATAACGTTCTTTTATCTGACTTTCTTGTCCTCTTCTATAACCAAATTAAACAAATGCATTGACGTTACCTGTATACCAATGGCTGTTATGTTCCACGTTGTACTACAACTTTCAGTCGATGGGCAAAAAAAAACAATTGGCACATTGTCTTGTGAAGGCAGCCCTCTCAACTTACACCCATTCGTTTAAGGACTGGACAAAGTTACAGCGGCACTGAAAAAAGGGTCTTACGACCGTTTTTCATCCTTAGGACCATTGCAGCATCCCCGTGGGTCACGTGATCAGAATTCAGGCGCTTGGCAACTGGCGTGTGTTTGTGAGGGTGGCTGAAATGAGGGATCCTTGGTGCTCTCTGATCCGGGTGGTTTTCTTGCAGACGTTTCATTACCCAACTAGGTAACATCATCAGTGCTAGAAGGGAGTGGGGGATATGGAGGGAGGAGGAGGAGGAAGAGGAGGAGGAGGACTGTGGGGTCCTGGGTGCTCTTTGAGCTTGGTGGTTTTCTTGCAGACGTTTCATTACCCAACTAGGTAACATCATCAGTGTTAGAAGGGAGTGGGGGGTATGGGGAGGAGGAGGAGGAGGAGGACTGTGGGGTCCTGGGGGTCCTGGGTGCTCTCTGAGCTGGGTTGTTTTCTTGCAGACGTTTCATTACCCAACTAGGTAACATCATCAGTGCTGACACCATCCTTAGCACTGATGTCATTACCTAGTTTGCTAATGAAACATCTGCAAGAAAACAACCCAGCTCAGAGAACACCAAGGACCCCACAGTCCTCCTCCTCCTTTTCCTCCTCCCCTTCCCAAACCCTGCTCCCTTCTAGCACTGATGATGTTACTTAGTTGGATAATGAGAAGTCTACAAGAAAACAACCCAGCTCAGAGAGCATCAAAGACCCCCTCAAATCTTTCAGCTCAACCTATCTCACTCCCACGGATTCCTGAATGAAAAGCAGGATGTAAATCTAAGAAATAAAGAAATCAAATATAAATTGGAGGCAATCCCTGGAATAGCTTGCCTCCCGGAGTTGTGAGTACTCAATCATTGGAGGTTTTTTTTAAAAAAAAAATAGACTTGACAATCCAGGATAGTGTAAGAGGCGTGGACTACAATGCTGGCTGGGGAATTCTGGGAATTGAAGTCCTGGCTTTTTCAAGTGGCCAAGGTTGAGAACCATTGATATAGGGTTTCCTGCCTGAGCAGGGGGTTGGACTAGATGACCTCCAAGATCTCTTCCAACTTTTTTATTATCATCATCATCATCATCATCATCATCATCAAGTGTTGGATGGCGCAAAGAAATGTTCCCAATGGAGGGTATTCTCCATAGAACAGGATAGCAGGATCGCCTCTGCGTGTGTATTTACGAGCGCAACCTCAAAAACCCTCCCTTAGTCTCCATGCTGGTGGGAACACTTTGCTTCATATTTCAAGAAAATTCCTGGGCGATACGATGCTTGATTTGTCCAGCAGCCAAGAATT